ATTGTCTTTTTAGATTGAGATGTTATTTTTTCCTGAGAATGAGTCGATGATAACTGAGGACTAAAAATGCGTCCCATATACTTGCACATGGATGTTATATTTAAGCTTTTACCTCGGAAGTACCATTTCTTATATTTTACAAAGGACCACCTTTACGGAAAACAATAACTTCAGTTTTATCAAGACATTTTAAGAATCTTGGAAATAAAAAAGTCACAACGTGGAAGGTTAGAGCATACTGGGTCGATATAAAGGGCATGTGTTTTATACATAATGTAACAATACTTATGGAACACTTTTTGTATATATCAACAGTTATTTTCGAGAAAAATAATCCGATTTCCTCCGTAAGTAACTGTGTCCTTCAAAATAAAATCCAGAGCAGATATAATCTAGCTTTTATTCTTTTTTTGCATTGTATTCACATTTTGGGGTGTTTTTTTATTAATCAATGTGTACTCTTTGGGGCGTTGACGGAAACCAGTTAATATTTATTGTTAATGTCTTTTATTCCCTTTTGTGATTTATTCCTAAATTTTCCCTCATAAAGGGTGAAAAATTTCACCTTTAACTTGTTAAAGTAATAAATTATTAATTTAAAATTTTTAGGGTAGTATTTAAAGACCCTTTTTTTTCATTTGTAAATAAAGGGAAAACAAATTTTTTAAAAAAATCCTCAAAAAAAGTTAAAAAAATAAACTAAAATTATTTTTTCCCCAAACCTTTACGTTTGCAAAAAAGTGTAATAACCCTTTGCCTTTAAAATATTTTTTTTTCATAAAATTTTTCCCCCTTTTTCTTTTAAATATATTCCCAAATTTAAATTTTAATTTTTGTAAAAACGAAATTTTTTTTTGGGACAATTTAAAAAAATAAAAAAATATCCGTTCTGTTTTTTTGGGTTTAACAAATCCCTAATTTTGAAAGAAAATTAGCCTTTTAAATGGGTTTTTAAATTTAAAGTTTAAAAAGAGACTTTGTTGAGGTTTAAATGTATGTAGTTCAATACAAGACAGCATTATCTGTGCGAATCCTCCCGAAAACTTTAAGTCTGATTTACATTATGCAAGCGCAATTACCGGAGCGGAAAATTTTGAAACTCCTCTCGCAAAACATCAAAAGGTAACCAGCAAATTTATAGAATTTTTAACTAGTTAGTCATTGAATGTAAAGTTATATTCACCGGAAGATGATATATTGATCGAAGCGACAGACATTCTGTATATCTTTTCTATACATATCTGTACCATTTTGTTAAAGGTTGTTTTATACTTTTTACTTTACATAAATTACAGAAATCAGCGCACACTAACAAATGATCACTGAAAATTTAAAAGTATTGATTAAGTTGAAATTTTAAAAGTATTGATTAAGTTGATCAGTGAAAAGAATTCAAAAGAAAGAAAACAGTACTAATCTATAAATATAGGCATGAGTCATCCCCTCAAAGTCACTTTAATTTAATAAGTTAAAATGGTGGGGGCGCTGAAACAAAAACACGATAATTAGCGAAGGCGCGGGGCGAAGTTAAAAAAAAATAAAACTTCGCCCCGCGGGGGCGCGGAGCGAGATTATGTCGAGCGCTCCCGCTAATAAGCGTGTTTTCGCTCCGCGCCCCGCCGTTTTATTTCTTAAACTCGGCCCCCCGTCCCCGCTTATAATCGTGTTTTAGCCCGCGCCCATGACATTTTAACTTGATAATTCTCAATTTTTCGCTGACAAACCAAAATAACATTTGATATATAATCACATTCAGGCCATGAACTTCCAGGAAAAGTCTGACATTTAATATCAGTTTTGCTAAACAAGTAGCACAACTGTTTAAAAATTCATTTCAGTAATGTCATTTTTCATGTATAATATAAACTGGGGTATGTATAGACCTACGGTTTTAAAAATGATATTTTACCTTTGGCAAGAAATCAATGTGATGGATTTCTGTTGAATTCAAACTTACTCTAAAAACATTGAATCTTAGAAACATTTTAATGCCATTCTGAGCTTTTTGTTTATGCTCGATCATCAGGGAAGTTAGTTATAATATATATGACTATAGGACATTATTTTGTTTTGTTTTATTAAGAAACAACTTTGCTTTCCTCTTCAAATATAAGTATTGTTGACACTCTGTGTAGAAAACATGTGTTTCATCGGTCGGATATTGTGACGTGGTTTGATAATTTGGCGGTGGCAAACGATCATGATATTACACATTATCTTATTTATTTAACAGAAATAAGTTTAGTTAAATTGGAACTGAAACGACAAAGAATGTCTGAAATCATTAACAAAAGACCACTGAAAATTAAAAAAAAAATAATATTGAAACTTTGGCCAATTAAAATGAATACAAAACCAAGAAAAACGTAAACGTACACAACCTCTTATACGGTACTACGATATAAATCGAGGCATGGATCATCTTTATGATATCACTTGATACATTGTCAAAAAAGTGTTTATATGCCTTATAGTTTTCTTCTGCATTGTAGAGGCTATGTAACATTTTAAATTTTAAAACAATATTATTTACTAAAGATATCTATTCATTGACAGTTTTCTGGCCTCTCATTTAAACATACATGTATATTAATAAGTATGTATGTTTGGCAATGTATAAAGACAAATATTTCCTATCATGTACAAATCCATTGAAATTTAAAGAATCTGAAATGATTAAGGACATATTATATCATTGTTAAGCATCATACATGAATATATTTCAAAGTTATGTTTACGTGCATGTAAGAAATAATTAATATCTTGAGAATTACCTAGTATTTATTCCCTGCGGTCTGGAGACCGCAGGGTATTGGTACGCGTTTCACCTTTGAGGCATGGAGGAGCACGTGACCTGTTTTCGGTACATGGAGGAGCATGTGATCTGTAAACCGTACATGATTGGTTAATTGACCTTTTCGAAAACCTAGCTAAATAACGTTTGCCGATACGTTACGGATTTACCTGTAGGGAATTACTCCGAATTACACCTAATTAAGAACAAAAAACTATTGCTTGATATTTCTAATTTTCTATAATTATTTTACCGTTTTTAAGGTGGAAAAACTTGAATGATGTCTTTGAAAATTATCAATGTTTCTTTAATATCTATCTCAAATTTACAAACAATAAATTGTTTATACTGAAAATATAAAAATTAAAATATTCGTAGTGGCATCTGCCATAATAAATAGAGATATTTCTGCGTAAACTTGTGTGTTACTTTATTTATTTTTTGCTCGGAATTATACATAAAATGGTAGGCCTATTTAATCATTTTCTTAAAAGAAATAATTGTTTTATGTTCGACTTTCTCCCGGTCTTCACGGTCACCAGTTTCCAAAGACCTTCTTCTATTCAATTGTCAACTATATTCCTGATACAAACTTTAATTTATCCCCCCACCCAAATAATGTTGAAAATAGTTAAATGAAATATATTTAAATCATCATTAAAATGTTCACCGCAGGAAACCATTTTACTTGTCTGTTCTAGTATACGTTAATAGTTAAAGTTGGTGGAAATGTCTGTGTTATCATTTACATTTAAACAAATTCAGAATCTTCATGTTTTCAGACAAAATGGTGGGCCGTAACATAATTTGCTTCCTTCTGAAAAAGCCAGGGCATTTTTATTCATTACAGAAAAAACCAAATGCATCAGAACAGATCCCGCCCTGGCTGGGATTCAATCTTGTGACCCTCTACATGGAATTCTGTTTGCCTCATTTAACATTTAACTTAGTTGATAAAATGTTTCGTAGCTTGCAAATCCAAGATTGGTAGAGGTAATCAAACATACTTTGTGTGTAATTTTGGAATGAGATATTATAATTATGACAACGCTATTGCGCAGTGGGATATATTACGTTTATAAACCATTCGATGCAACATTATGGGCCTATTTTAGTGGATATTTTTACACGGATTTAATTGACAAAAGAAGCGTGTTAATTTTTCTTTTTATTTTCTTCTTCAGAAGACCTTATTATATTAACATAAGAAATGTAACATGCATATACATTCTTTTCTGTCGTTTTGAATATAAAATTCCACAGTTTTAACGTTTGGAACGTTATCTGATCTCCACATTATGTACATTTACTAGGCATGTCATTCAAATGTAGGTTCATACAGAATGATTATTGGTGCATTGAAATAAAGTATTTATTGTGAAATACGATCACTTTATTAACGTCAATACGGATTTTTTACCTCACCTAATATGTAGCATATAGTAAAAACATACTTGTTAAGAGTACTTTTATCATGAACTAGATCTCTGATTTGGTCAAGGTTAGATAATACAGTACTCATTAATATAAAATCATAATAGTTGTCATCTCCATGAGAGCATAGAAATGTTTTATAGTATTTTATTACGTATCGAAAATAGTGATCATTTGAGTGCTTTCTTAATGCTGATATAGAAACATATCTATATCATATTTTGATTTTTGTTTCATAGTTTTGTCTTCCTATCTCATTATTCGGACATGTCGTCTCCTTTGACAGCTCTTACAAATAATTAGAAAAAGTAGCGAGATTAATTAACCTTTAGAAAAAAGTATTGCGCACCAATGCGTGCCATTTAATTTGCCATTGATTCTAATTTGTTACGATGTCACTTAATAATAAATTACTTATTTAATGTCATTCAATTGAACCCGCTGGAACGCATCAAGGCTATAGAAGTTGATTACACTACTATGACTAAGTTTCGTCAGCTAATTAAATGTATCAGTAACGTTAACCAATATATAAGTAGCAAAGGTAAGTGTGCATTTTACTTAGCATAAAGAAAAACAACAAAATTGAAAATCTTGCAGGCTCGGTTTGATTGAGTCTGTTCATGCATGGACGGCATAAGAAAATATATAAGTATTTTTTTTGAAAACTTTTGCTGTGGTAATCGTCGTGTGAAAAGTGACGCCATTATCTATTAGTAAAATAATCTTTCTTGAAATATAAAGATGTGTTTAAGCTTTTTGTCCTTTTCAGGTTAAACCCAGAACTTCAAGACACGACAATACTTATAATTGTTGAGTGCAAAAAACAATGGCTTCATATAGCCCTAAACTGTTAGAAAAGAAATACAATAACTGGGTTAAAGCTCAGTTAGCTGTCTTGTTTACTAAAGATGGTCTTGAACCTTTTGTTTGTAATGAAATTCAACAATTTCAACAGGAATGCTTAGATGATATTTGCTACAACAATGGAATTTTTAGTGGGACTATATGCTCGGGTTGCAGCACGGAAAATGTTGTTAAGTGTCCTACAAAAGGTATATGTATTGTCGGGAAGGGACAATGCAGTTTTCACAGAAATTCAAATTACATCCTAGCCGGCTGTCCGAATAGGATTTGCCATAATTTCAAATCAGGAATACAGAAAGCTCATAGGTACTCTGGTCCATCATACAAAAACACTGATGCTACCCAGTGGTGCAGTAATTCATGGGAAGTGGCTAAATGCTTCATGCCCACAGATGGGTATAAAGATAAAGCATCTGCAACAGAAACAGACTTCAACGGTATAATCAGCGTTATCCTAAATTACAAAGACTTCAAGGGGAAAGTACATGAAAACCTCAATAATAAGATGAATATATTTGAAGAGGTAAACAATATTTAGGAACCATTTATAAAGACTTACGTTAAGTCCATAGTTAGCTAAACAACATTATATATTTCAATGATCATAGGTATAATACAACAAATAGTATCAAATATATGATACACATTCCATTGTTTTTAATTATGCTTTCTGAAAAAAAACATTGGTAAAGTTCAGAAAGAGGGTAGGTAGTTGGGTGGTGAAGAATTTTTTATGCATTTTAATTGATTATGAATATATTAGGAAGTTAACACCTACTTTAACAGAAGTATTACAATCAAGTGCCCAGAGTCATTCTGAAAGTATTTCATTATAAGAAAATCTAATGGGAGAATAGTTGACTTTTTAACATCATATGTGTATATATATATATATATTGAAATAATCTTTAGAAGGCATCTCCGCCTTATCTGTTATATATTATGGCTTATTGCACATTTTATTTTCATTTAAAAAACAACAACAAATAAACAAACAAAAAACGAAAACTCAGAAAAATCCTTGTCTACCTGCAGCACTCCTACATTTCTCACAGTCTTAAATTTCAGTTTAAACCCTATACACGTAATTGTTATGAAGTGTCCACGACATAATGTCGTGGTTTGTAGTATTATTCATTATTTGAAATTATATCTGGTAAAATTACTGATTTTTGAAACAATTTATGTATATTTTTATGTCATACTTGTAAATAAGAGAGATATAAGTGAGAAAGACTTCAAAACAATAAATACCTAAGTATTGTTTGACAGTGGCCCTTTGCATACAGCAGATGTAAAAATGCAACCGTCAGATCACTCCCTTAGGTATGAATTTTTTAAGTTCACATTCTCTTATTGTGTCTGTAATACTTTTTATATACATGAACTTGTAAGTAGTGTTTTCTAATTTTTTCTAATTTAACAGAACATTTTTCAGTGAAGAGTATAGTTTGTGATCAATTTATAGGTTTTAAGTAAAAGTAAATAGGAATTTGTATTCCATTTTGACCAGGCAAGAGAAATTGGAAAAAATGTGCGACATTCTTCCTCGCTTGAAGTAGAGGATTCAGATCTTCAGAAATACTTTCAACTTTTACAGAAATTACTTTCTGATCCCGTATATTTAGCTACAGACACGCATGCACAGAATGCTAAACAGAAACTTACAGAGGTAAACATTTGAATACGCTAAATATTTCATTGTATAGCTAGTGTATTTAGAATGATTAGTAATAAGTGTAATCTTAGTACAAGTGTGTATGTCCAATTAAATACTTTTATTAGATTTTTTGAGCAGCAAATCATGTTGTTTCCATGATAGAAAGTTATTGAAGAATGTCAGAAGTGTTGTAATCCAGAATGCCTCTGTCATTTACAGAACATGAGCATTGTACGCAAGCATAATAAACTATTCGGGAACAAAATAGTAGGCTGTGATAAAAGTGAACCGTTTTGAAATGGCTCGTTTGTAAATATACAAACATGTTTTTGATACTTTTAAAACATAGAAGGATTTCTCAAAATGCTCTACGAAAGATTCATTTCTTTTTTGATATTTTGTTCATTTTCACGCATAATATAATATTTATTATTTATATTATGCGCTGAATTATATGTTCTACTGAAGGTGGATTGAATCTCAACACAATGTTCCGTTTTTTATTTTTTTGTTAAATTTTTTAGTGGTCCACAAAAAAATATTAACTTACATAGGTTATCTTTGTTAAAAAATAGATTTAAAAAAAATAAAAATATGTTCTACTGAAGGGGGTTGATCTCAACACAATGTTTCCCTTTTTAAATTTATTGTTAAACTTTTTTAGGGGGTCCAAAAATATATAAAAATTACAAGTTTCCTTTGTTTTCAAAAAGTATTAAAAAAAAAAGTAACAAAAATTTCTAGTGGAAAGCCACAATGTTATCACTTGGAAATCCAAAATCTAACTGACCCTAAATTTTCTACATGTATCTTTACAATAATTCTAAAATTGATTTCGTTTTAACTGACCAATAGAATTTTGACATTTTTGTGTCTTAAATAACAAAATGACCAATCAGGTTTCAATACAAAATAATGTAACATAGAACAGAACAGAACAGAACAGTACAGATATTTTATTAAGACTTGTACAAAGTACATCATCTACAATACATTATATTCACATATATTTTAGCTGCATGAAAATTAACAAACAAAATATGGATATCACAAATTACGTATACAGTAGTTTCATAACAACAAACAAACAAACATGCAATCAATCAATCAATCAAACAAACAAACAAACAAACAAACAAACAAACATGTAGCTATGGAAAAATGTGTATTTACTATCTACTTTTATAATTAAATAAGACACTTTTATGGATATAACATAGCAACATAGAATTTATAACAACAATCATCACCTGGATATTTTATCAGTCATAAGGTTTAACAACATGATAAGTACAGACAGCTTAATTGACCTTATCACCTATATATTATAAAACTTTTAGCACAGTTGATTGGACAAAGAGGAAAAGCCGCATTTTAATCTTCCAGTTACATAATTTTAAATTTGACATCTGTTATTGAAACATATAATATTTGTAACTTAACATATTTGAAATTTCACAAATTTTGTTTTGAAAATATGACCTTTTAGAAAATGATTATATATAGAAAATCATCATGCATATTTATTCTTTTTTTTATATAAATGAATTTTATCATTTTTCGGCACAACATTTATATAATTTGAAAAAAAAATTGTTCGAATATTCAAACAAATTATACACGGGTATAAGTGGTTTATGCTGAAGATTCATACTAATTTTCAAAATGTTTGTTTGTAAGCAAAGTCACAGGCAAGTTTTAAAATACATGTTTAAACCGCAAACCTGGTAACAATTATATGCTGGTTTATCTTCTTTGTAATCACTCGTATCATTATTTTGATCAGCATACGATTTACATATCAGTGATTAACAACATTGCACAGGTATTTGTTGCAAATAAATATACTGTAAAAACAAATTATCTTTGAAATGTACACTTTATTGAAATTTACACTACAGTTTTATATCATGTTGTACGTATGAAGAGACATAATAAACTATTTGACTTGACTTGACTTGACTATAATAAACTGATATCAAATTCTGTTGTATATTGATATATTGTATATATTTTATGGTATTTATAATAACAGTTAGAAAATGACACTCTTGTCATTGGTAAAGATGATATAAGGAAAGCACTAGACGATGCGGCAAAAGCAGTTCAGGACAAGATAAAGACTGGATTAGATGAGCAATATGACAGAATTAAACAAGATCTTGAATCACAAACTGCCGAACTGCTGAAACGACTAAATGAAGAAGGTGATAAAGAACGGACAAAACTTGCTGAGACGTTACTAAAAGCAATAAAGTCAGCAAGCAAAGACGAGAAAGACGAACAATATATTGAATATAAACAAAGTAAGTGATAAAACATCACATGAAATCATTTGTTTTCCATGTTATAGAACTATAACTTATCTATGTACTGTCACCTCATAAAATATAACTATTGAAACCCCAGCTTTGCACTACATGATGTTCTAAGATCATCGACTCATTATTGGATCCAATGCTATCATTAAGTTATTCTCATTATTTCTTTCCTGAGTCCTAAAATCTGTATCAAATACATATTGCACTCCATCAAGCCTTCCTTTCATTTTCTGAGTCCGAACTGAATCCATATCAAATCCATTTTGTACATCGTGTCTAGCCCCGTTTACATTTTCCGAGAACAATAAGTCTATATAAAATACATAATGGACTCACAGTGACTGGTTGTAATATACATTTATGTAAATTAAATACTAAAATATCTTAATTATTAATTGTTGATCCTAGTTGTTATCTTTAATCAAATATACTTTTTCCTCAGAAACATAATTGGTAAAATTAAAAGAGTTTGTCACACATTTTTGAGTATCATACTGATTCTAGCAAATATATTTTAACATAAGCGACTAAAGATTAACAGACCCAATACAGGCAAACAGGGCCAATCCAGAAAACAGCAAGGCCATTGTGTAAACGAAGTAATTTGATTGGTTAAGAATTATAGCCGATACGTAAGCGTTGATACGTATTTAAAAATAAGAGCCGCAATAATTCTGTTGGTATTTAAAAGTCTTAAGCCAAATAACAGGGGAAATACAAAATGCCCAGATCAATAATATTTACGTTTATACGCAACATTGTATAATAAAGTTATGATTGTATATGGCAACATTTTTGTGAATAATCTTTTAAACTTCAAATGTATCCTCATCACTTGTTTTAACCTTTTGAAAGCAATGTATCTCAGGTATGCGATCCAAGCCTTTCATGAGCGCCTTTTGTTAAATACTTACGCTATAAATAGTACAAGTGTAGTTAGCGGCCAACAGCCTTTCAAAAACTGCGCCTCTTGACACATAATCAAAACAGAAGTAAAGGATACTTAGGACACCATTTAAAGTCACGACTTGCCTCTAGATGGTAAAATAAAAAAGATAATTACTGACAACTAAATTCAAGAAAGAATGTTGACATAAGCGTGAACAAGGTTAGCTTTTAAAAAAGCTAGTAGCGACTCGCTTCGTAATTTCTTTCCAGGGGCGTGTTTAAATGTAAAAATGACAGTTCTGTTAGCTGAAAAGACTTCAGCGAACATCAAAATAAAAGTGACATATAAAGTTAAGGAAGCCAGTTCTCTCAGTTTAACAAAGAGGAATATGAGTATATATGAAGATGTAAACAGATAGAATGAAGTCCCTATGTCTATGCACATTTACTATATGGCCTGTTGACCTTGACCAGAAAAAAATAGATAAGTAGAATTCATAAAAATGTCTCTTTATACGAAGTTAAGTTGTAATATGTTATTTAGTATTGGAATAAGTGACAGATACAAGTCCTAAAGTAAACACAAGTTGTCTATCAATTCAGCCAGAAAAGCCGGGATCCTATTAAAAAAATAGGATCCCGGAAATTGACCAGTTCAAAAATATAGTTTTCAGAAAAGCCGGGATCATATATAAAAATTAAGAGATCCAAGGAATTGGACAGTTCAAGAATATTGTTTTCAGAAAAGCTGGGATCGTATATAGGGATCCCGGGATTTGACCAATTCAAGAATATAGTCTTTGATTTTTCCAATTAATTAGGCATATAATTATAAGTATTGTGATTTTGTTAATAAATAGCTCTAAATATATCTATATCCTAAGTTAAATCAATTTAACTTTCATTACATACCATAAAAAAACTTAACGTTTAATGGCCTTTCATTACGACAATAATCAACACAAATATAGTTTATTAGTTTTTTCCCTTATTATCTTATACGATCCCGGATCCCGGGCGTCTCGGATCCCGGCCAGTAAATACATACACTAAATACCGGAAAGGATAAAATGACCGGAAAAAAGGAAAAAGAAAAAAATGCACAGAACCAGATGTCGTTCATGTTAATTAACCAAACGAAAACTTACTACAGAGTAAACAGGACTGGTGAAATCGCTAAATCAAAAGTCAGTGTAAATATGATTTACTGAAAAGAATCCATGAAAACAAACATTTTAATCATCAATATATCTTTGCGCTCAAAACAATACTTGCTGCTTTTTAAAAATGGCGTGAAAATTGAGGGTTTTTTGACGCTATATAAGATCAAATTTGATTGGCTAAATAATTTTGGAACCTAGCCCTGATAGATAAATTTTGTAGAAAGCTGGAAGCTAAGCTTCGATTAAATTTTTGGATTGATTCGGAGTTTTAGGTTGTTTCTCAGTAAAATCCTATCGTAATACCGGCTCGCCGTGGCGAGCCGGCAATATATCGTGTTTCTTCTTTCGTTACTGATACAGTAGCCAATATTAAAACATTTAAATGGTCACGTATCAAAACAGTGGTTTTGAAAAAATCCCGGTATTCGGTACGCATGTTCGTAAATGAGTAGGCCCTAATCGTATTTCAAGCTAAAGTTTTAATCTATATATTGGTCTATAGGCACTTGGTTTCGGGATAAAAATCCTTTTGAAAAGTTTGTAGAACTCAAATTTAATTGAATGTAACAGTTTTTAAACGTAGATGTCTCTTTTCAAAAACCTTCATTTTTCCAATGTTACTAAAGTTTTTAATTCGTCTTGTACAATTACGTTGAATGAATGAATGAATGAATGAATGAATGAATGAATGAATGAATGAATGAATGAATGAATGAATTTAAATACATAAACCAATAAGTAGGTACGATTACTAAAGAGGTACATCTATTTGAAATAAAGGGACTTAAAATATTTTTTCGAGATTTATGTTCAATTTAATTATAACAATAACTTGAGTTTGAAATTAAAGATCATTCGCTCTCTCTGTATTCAAAGAATTATTATTTAAATTATAAAAAGTGACACAAAAATGAAAAGCGTTGCAACATTTGTCACTCAAATCGAGCTTAGAAATACACAACAAAACTATTTTAATTTTATTTCTATTTCATTTTTATTTATTATTCATAAAAAATGACAATATTTGTATCTGAAAGCAATTTGCTAGAATTAATAACTACGGTAAATTAAATTATTCGTGCATATACCTTGCAAAAGAAATATATCCGTAACAGAAACAAGATATTGTAGTAAATTGCGAAAAATGTTTTTTTTTGTTGTTTTTTTTGTATTAAAGTTTTTTTTAAACAGAAAATAAACCTCAATCATTCGTATTATTATTATGATCTGTTTTTGAAGGATACCAAAAAACTTTGACATAACAACACCGACTTTTTATGTGTGTACATTTTTTTATGTTTTTCTTCTTCTTTTTTCCATTTTATTATTTTTTAGTAATTTCATTTTATTTATTTTATTTTGTTTTTTAAACGTCATCTTAAAATATTAAAAGTAAGTTATCCGCGGTGATCGCCGACAAATATCATATGAAACATGGGAATCTCCTGTGTTCAAGAATTAAGTTTTTGAAGATTCAAAATCATTTGTTATGTTTAAATTTTAGCAGTATTGCATACCGTGGACTATTTAAGACATCTATATACTGAGTATACTAACATTATAAAATAAATATCAAACCTAACACGTACAAAGTAATCTCCCTTTTTAATGTTATGACATTTTGGCCGGAATTGAAGGGAGGCTACACCTTACAGATATTGTGAGAGATCAATATCATCTAATAATAATAATAATTATTATAATTATTATTATTATTATTATTATTATTATTATTATTATTATTATTATTATTATTTATATAAAAATCAAACGCGCGTATATAAGCTATATGCACCTTTCAGGTGTTTACTGCTTAATAAATGTTGTTGTTGTTGTTGTATACATGAAAAAGTTCTAACATTAACAAAATAAGTAATTACAAAAGACCACTCAATGGTCATAGCGGTAATATTATTAATATGTGCCTTTTCGTACAAACTTCTAACAGATTTCGGCGGTTAGCCCTTTTAAACTGAAGAAGGTTCAATGCCGACAATTTAACTATGATCTTTTTAAAGTAAATGTGTATTTTATAAAATAGCAGGCTTAAAATAATAAGATGCGTAAATTATATAAATAGAAGCTATTGTACTTGTATATGTCTTCCTTTTCGTCCGTTTTAATATGCTTCACAGTGACTAATTATTTATGTCTTTGCAATCGTAATTGAAGGGTAGATATGTTTATCAAATGTATCATCAACTCATTTGCATTACACGATGAACAATCTAAAAATACATATGCGTCATTATACGTATATAAGTATTATAAGTATTTTTAAATTACTTGAAATAATACGCAACGTTAATGGCGTCAAACTGTAATATTTTGTTTTCTTGATAGATTGTTTTGATTTATTTAACTTTTTTTGTCTTAAAGATATCTGACTAAAGCTTGCTTCACTTGTTATATAATATATACATATAGTGTTATTTTGACATTATATCAAAATTTGAATATTTTTGTTGATGGACCAAAAACGTACCGAGCCCTTTATGTATTTTAGACATTTGAACCTTTGTGGAATTCTTCATAAATTTTCCTTAACGCAGCAGTTTTTACCTTAAAGTTTTTGATCATATAATAAAAAATTTTCAGCTGAGCAATTGAGGTTACTTAATGCGTCTCCTTTGTGTCCGGATTTAAAAAATAAACAAAAGGAATGTTCGCCACTTAGAATTCCTGGTGGTGGTACATAAACTTAAAAGGCAGAGACGCTTATCACAACGTAACACATCTATGGGGAAAAAACACTCCAGAGTCGTGGGTCCTTTTATAATTAACAATAATTATTTTGTTATAATGCTTCTGAAAACCTACTTTAAGTCAATTTATCATGTAATTAGGTCTTTGACGCTTTGGATTTTGAATAGAGTATTCATAAACAAAGTTAAATAAAAAATTGTTTTTATTTCTAATTCTATGGAATAAAATGACATTTTTGACTACAAATATTTTTAGTGCTTTTGTTGTTGTTTTAACTACATTAAATGTAATATTAATTGAAGACGCGTCTCTAGAGAATAAAGCAAACAAAGTCAAATTAAATGCGAATAGAATTCTCGCTTAAAGATGGTTCCGCTTGAAACAGCTTATGCACATTTTATTTTGCAATCAGGATTATTCCGAATTGAAATTTAATAATAGTTGTGGCTAGTCATAATTTAAACATTTATTTCGGAAAGACGAAGACATGATAAATTTGCAAATAATATTAGGTTCGCCTTACACCCGTTTGGGTTGCATGGAATGGCAGTAACGTGTAACATTCCAGCGTCCAGTATTGGAACATACAGGATGGTCATGGGGTACAATTAAAAGGGACTCCACTGAGGTTTTTTGAAGTGAAAAGACCGAAAATATTTTTTCAAGACTTTAGTAAAACTAGATGTATGTCAAGACCAATAACTCATTGTCAAAATTTCTGATCATTCGCTCACTCTGTTTCCCAGAAATAATCAATTTTATTAATAAATGAAAACCGTTTAAATGCTCTTTACTCAAATCGGCCAAAAAATCTCATAAAAATAGATTAACAATTTAATACCGTGTAAATTTATATATCATCTATTGCTTGGTTTCAAATTTAAATGTACCAGTTTATTTAAGAAAGAATTTGAAAATTCATTATTTTAGGCTATTGGACCTCAGTGGAGTTCCTTTAAAGCAATGATTGGATGTTCATAATTAATGCAGAATTATGTTTTATTTTTATATAACGTCTACCTGTATGTGCTAGGATTCTCATGTATATAATTTATTAAGATTTAAAGAGTTTCCACTTGTCTGTGGCTTACCTAAATAACCATGGTGGGAGACCAGTTTTTCCCACGTTAACAAACGGGTCATCTATAAATAGTTCAACATCATCGTAATAAAGCGTAATAAAGATGTTAACCATATATCGATATAGCATCACCCTTATAGAAACGACATCAATATATTTCAAAAACATTACACCATATAGAAATATGAAAGCAACAAATATCAAACTCACATCACTACTTGTAAAAACAAACGCACCATATATAAACCGCATCACTTTATCTGAAAATGACATAGCTATATATATCAAAACCGCTTCACTATCAGTCCAGACCACATTACTATACATGTATATGAAACCGACATCACTATATATAAGAAACACAGCACTGTCAATCAAAATCACTATATTTGAAAACGACATCACTATTTCTCAAAATTACAGCACTTTTTTTAAAAGTGTGTATATAAGACAGTAGCGTAGCCGGGCATACGCCAGTACGCCGTAGGCGTACTTAACGAAAATGAATTTTAAAAAATCAAAAAGTCTTAAATGTTGAAAACAGTTGTCCAAATCAGTACCCTAACCCATGTTAGGCATCGCCGTGAGTTTTGACGAAGAAAAAAAGGATTTGCTGACAAAAAATATTTTGTTATTAAGCGATTTAAACAGTGTATCGGTAACTTGTGTTGCAAATGTAGAACAGTTAGTACTATTTTAGGTAAAACAGTGTCATGCGTATTGACTTTTTAGTATCTTATCGTAGAATCCTATTATATTCCGAATGTTGTTTACATAAGAAGTTATACTAACGGGAAAAATCAAATGGCGTCCCAATGTAAAACGTCCGAAGAACATGGGCCTCCATATGTTGATATTTTCAACTGCACCGTTTTAACCGATGAACAGAAAGTCACTAAATATTAAAGTCAGATTGGCCCGATGTCCATAAATATGCATTTAAATCGAGGTAAGTTTATGCAGATCAAGAAATTTAAAGTAGGTAAAATAATGCAATTTGTCATTAAATCATATTCAAATGTATTATTTACTATCAAATTACATCAAATATTATTCTATTTTGTTTTTAACTACAGTAAATCTATAATAATCTGAAATAAAGAGTCTTTTTTAAACGTTTGAAAAATCTGATGAATACAAAACAACTTTTTCTTGAATATTGTTTTGAAAACTATCTAGCATGATAGAAAATGGTCTAATTAAGAAAATTTAGCCGTACCGGCTCGTGAAAGTATGTGGCATTTTATCATGTTTCGTGAAAATATATTCCATATTTCACGCAAACGAAAAAATATCCTCTTATTATTAGATAAGAAGGAAATTATATATGTTGTCAAATGTCTCCAGATAGCGTTATTTTGCATATATAAATCCAAATTTCCTCGGGGGAAGACCCCCGAACCCCCTACCATTTACAAAGGGAGGGGGCCACGCCGTCCCTTAACCCTCCAGAGGCTCACATAAAATATAATTTTATTCAACTCATTAAACAAATTTAGTATCAAACTTACACTATTTCAATATCCTCTATTTATTAGATAAGAAGAGAATTAAATATGTTGTCAAATGTCTCTAGATAGCGTAATTTTGCATCTATAAATCCAAATTTCCTCGGGGGAAGACCCCCCGAACGCCCTTCCATTTACAAAGGGAGGGGTCACCCCCACCCTTAACCCGTCAGAGGCTCACGTAATATATCATTTTATTCAACTCATTAAATAAATTTAGTATTAAACTTACACTCTTCCAATATCTTCTATTTATTAGATAAAAAGAGAATTAAATATGTTGTCAAATGTCTCCAGATTGCGTTATTTTGCATTATAAATCCAAATTTTCTCGGGGGAAGACCCCCGAACCCACTACCATTTACAAAGGGAGGGGGCCACCCCCTCCCTTAACCCACCCCCAAGGCGTATAATTACTTTTGGCCGCGCTACGCCACTGTAAGACAGCTATGGCGTTCCATAAATAATTCCATTGACACACGTCAGCTGTACTAATAATAGCTTATAATGTTTATCATGTTTATTACAGTAAAGCCAGTGCAAAGTTTATTTAGGTGCACTTCAAATTTAGTAATGACCGAGGCCACCTAAAGTTCATTTTTTAGAAAGATTGAATAAAGTAAAATATCAAGTGAGATGCTCAGTGAATACCAGTACTACAAAAAGGTATACTTGTGACATTTTGTATGAATTTCAGTTACATTTTCCGTACAAGTTAATAAAAAGTTGTGTTCGTCTGCTTTTTTAGTTGAAAACAAAAAAGGCAGACGAATACAGTTTGTATCAGTTTTTACATTATTTTGTATGTCCGATTTATTTGAATACAACGTGTTGTTAAAGAGTAGTAAAAAAAATCTTATTTTTTTCTCGGCGATTCTTTTTCGTTTTCCTTCCTTTTTATTAATGATGCTAGATATAATTACATTACTGTATAATACATGTATACACACTGACACCATTAGAATAAATGAAAGCAGCATATCAATGTTTTTGTTTTTGTTTTTTTTTTTTTTTTTTTTTTTGTGAATGAATTATAATAATATTTTTTTTCCATTTCAATACGTGAATGAATTATAATAATATTTTAATTATTTCTATTGCAGAACTGAAGGATGAGCTTATTACATGGTACAACACCAATCAAAGTACAGTTCCTCTTTCACCACTCACAGATGCTTTCCCTACCCCTCTAGCCGGGTTCTACATTTTGCCAGAAATTGACAAACAGACGTATCAACCAGATGGAAGGAAAGAAACAAGTAGAGTCAAGTCGTTACAGGACCTGTTTACATCTCCAAGGGAAATATATTTATCAGCAGTCGCCGGATTTGGAAAAACAGCGTTTTCAAAATATCTTGCCTTGACATGGTGTCAAGCTCATCAAAAGGATGGGAATTATGGGCATTTTAAAGAAGGAGAGTTAAAGGCATTATCTGGCTTTGAGTTTTTATTTCTAGTGCTATTGAGAGATTCAGCTAAAGTCTGTGATGTCGACGACATGATTGAACAACAAGTCATACAGTACCTCCCTTGCTCATCTTCAATGCCAAAAGGTATATTAAAGGACATTCTACATGATGAAAAATGTCTTGTGATATTAGATGGACTTGATGAATGGACACATCCTGACAATGATTGTACAAGAGTTCCTAAAATTATTCCACATCGATATGCACGTGAAAAGTGTGTAATCTTGACAACGACCCGCCCATGGAAGTTTGAAATGTCAAACTTGAGTCAAATAGTCGAAACAGTAGAGCTAGTTAAACTAAATAAAGAAAATGCCAGGCAGTTTAAGTGTAATGCCATGAAGTTGTTGAATGTGAACCTTCAAGATGGTGAACTTCAAAATGAAGTTTGTAGATTTGAAGAAGCAATCAGTGACCATGACATTGAAGACATGGAATCCACCCCTCTTTTGTTACTCTATCTTATATGTTTATGGATTGCAAAAATTCCAATAGGAAATTCTGCAGTAGAATTATATACAGGCATTATTCAGCTCCTTCTATTTAGAACAGAAAAGTTACATCAAAAATTTCATTCATCGTGTGAAACATCCCCGAGTAACGTTCCTGAATGTTTCAGAAAACATAAACATTTCTGTAGTTACTACACGTTTCTGTTGACCATTGGGAAACTAGCTTTTTATACATTGTTCAGTAAGAAAAAGGAGCACACATTAGTTTTTGATAGAAATGTTGCTAAAGAATATATTAACCAAGAAGATTTGAAATCAAGCTGTCTATCAGGAATACTATCAGAAAGTAAAGTGAAAACATTAGTAAGTGAAAGTTCTAAAATCTCATTTTCTCATAAAACAGTGCAAGAATACTTTTCAGCATTATTTATAAGTTTTCAAACTACAAATGAAGTTCAGAAAATCATCTTAGAAGAGTGCAACTGTTTACAAAATATTCTAGACATGTCAAAAGTGTTTGTTTTTATTAGTGGCATGAACCCTACATTAATGTCTACAATATCAAGTGTTTTAATGCCTGTGATATACAATAATGACAAAACAAGCAAATACAGAACGTTGGCAGGTTATGATTACATGTACAAAAAGCCATTAAAAGACATTCAAGACATGTACATTTCTTGTAGCAAAGAAGGAAAGGAAAACAAAGACCTCAAATTGTGTTTACAAGATTTCATCATTAATGAAAATTGTCAACAACAAAACTACTTCAAACAATTACAAAATCTGTGTCAACAAAATAAAGAAAACATAAAATCAATAATGATAGAAAATGCAGGTATTTGTAATCTACAAGAAATTATCAGTTTGTTTACACTCTCTCACCTTCCACATATAGAGAAATTATTCTATAAAGGTGAAATTGTAGAAAAGGAAATAATGAGCTTGTTATTGAAGCCTTTAAAATGTTTAATTGTGATATCATGTAAATGGAAAAATCATCAATTTGTAGGAGAATATTTCCAGCTGTCTGCAGAGATAAATGGACGACTGGTAAAATTACAACACCTGGAGTGTTTAAATATAAGCCGTTTCACTATGACCCACGAGGTAATGGAGACATTGTTAAAGTTCCTCACTAGTAAAAAATCAATGAAAGAAATAATATTGGACAATTTATACTGTATCGATCATGGTACTTCATGTAGGGGATTCAACCTTGACCTGTCTCAACATTCACAACTAAGATGTTTAGGATTGAGCTATATACCTGTGTCACAATTAAACATGGATGTATCATTGTTAGAGGAATGTATTGTAGGTGAATTATATAAACCTGGTGTTGTGTCATCTTATCTCAGTCAACTACCAGCAGCCAATAAACTACAAACATTTAGATGTGTTGATCTAAGATCTTCCAGTGACATAGAAACAATGTTACAAACATTATCATTGTTATATCATGTGAAACGTGTTTGGTTGTATAGAATCAATCTAAGTGAAAGATCATTAACACTGTCACCTCAAATGATCAATATTGAACGTGTTTACTTGTATTATATAACAATGTCTTGTTCAATGTTACATGATCTCATTACTGTTATAAACAAACTACCACATACAGTGACAGTACATATGGAAGGTTGTGATATAAAACCAGAAACAGAATTTAAAAACTTTAAAATATTTATAAAACAATCAGACAATTTTGTGGTCACACGTGATGGCACCTTGAAGTCTGGAGTGTACAGGTTTGAGTTTAAAACATCAACAGCAAGTACTGAGTTACCATAAATGAACTTGGAGAAACAATTTATAAATAGATTATGAGACTAATGACAGGTGAAATAGACATCATTTTATTTAATCAATATTCTCAGGTGAATGTTTTATAGTAAGGATATGAATGGAATGAAAAAAACATTTACGTTTTAAACTTTATACATATTTTAGCTAGATATGAAACTAGAGTGCATTTAATAAAAAAAGGGAATTATTCTTAATGATGAACACACAATGTCAATGGATTTATCCTAACTTCAAATGATGATTTATCATATATACTTGGAAAGGTTAAAGGTCAGTAGTATTTACTCTAATATTTTACTGTATTTTATCTAAGATTTTTAAAGGATATATTCATCTGGATATTAAATTTTAAATTTACATGCATTTTCAAAAGAAATTATCTAGAGTGACATGAATCAATTAAAAGATATAGTCTTTGCTCATACTTGAGTAATATAATTTATTGAAAAGTTTATTGAAGTATATTTAAATCTAGTCCTATAAATATGAGGTCGCTTTGAGATATTTTTGCTTCTTGGCAAAGCAACCGACATAAACTATAACAAGCCTGTAACGTCTAATATATTGGACTAATTTAAATCTTGATGAACATGTCTTATTTAAATTATAATAAAAGAACATATTTATAAACCAGTTTTTAATGACACTTTATATTCATAGTGTGTTTACTTAAAGTGTGTAGGATTTAAAGCATCACATATCTCAGTAACTTTGTGTAAAGCCAAAGCATCTTTATTTTATATTTATTAAGAGACTATGTGTACCAATTAGTATCAAATTTGTGCATTCCTAACGGTATATGTTAAAGACCTTAAGCTAGTGTGCACTATACACACACTGTAAAACAGTACAGTACTTATAAACTTAAGTGCAGCAATTAAAACTTTATTTACAGTGAATTTTTTTTTCTTGGTTTCAGTGCATTTAAAAGATATCATGTACATGCACTACTCAAACTGTGACCTAGCTGTTCTACAAACCAAGTAAGTCATTTGTACATGTACCTCTATTTGCTTTTTTTGTCCAATAGTAAATAATGTAAAAATGTGACTACACAGTGTATATGCTTTGCACAATTTTAGCTTGACTGTTGACAGAAGAAAAAACTTTAAATCGCCATCGTTTTTGTCAAGCAAAACTTTAATTTAGTCCATTACCTAAACATTTTCAAAGTTTAAGGTATCAATATGAAACCTGGAAAGCTTTTTTATCATGACAAGGTTCTATTGTTAGAAAAGGGGCATAACTCTGGAATTTATTATTTGGAGTTATGTCCTTTTCAACTTACTTTTCATTCAAAGGTGGTTTTTAACATAGGTGTTTGGCGCGTTGCTTGGTTACTACCATCGGACCCACCCCACCCCCTCACCCCTCTACAACCCTCCTGCCTCTAAAAAGTATGTAAACTGCAGTATTTTTCATTTGTAACATGTTTGAATATTTGGTATATGCTTTTAAAAAAAAGTATGCATATATATTTAGTACTAAATATTTATATATCAATTTATTTTTTTTTTGGGGGGGGGGGATGAAGGAAATTGTTTAAAAGCATATACCAAATAGAGTGGGTGAGGGTGCGGGGGTAGTGACAAATCAACACGCCAAACACCTATGGATTTTAATAGGTTTTTAAGCATATTAAGACAATACTATTTTGGTGTCGCATATGTAAGTTTCTAAATCAGAAATTCTTTTACCTGTTCCTGACTGATTCAGTAAGATATTTCATATGCAAACACAAAGATTAAATTGTGCTCTATAGTTAGGATGTAATAACTGTTTAGGATGCTACAATTATGCCTTTTCATCTTGACAATAAAGCTTGCAATTTCTTTTTATTTCAGAGAATTATGCTGTGTCTGTATACCAGAAATATCTTTTGAAAGTCCACTGAGTTTGTCGTGACGGAGCAATTTCAGTCTGCGGTGATGAGTGTGATAAATCGGTTTGTTTTAGCATTGTGATAATGATAAAAAAATTATGAATGATAGCCATTGTTAAACAGTTATGATAATGAGACAATCGCGTAGATGCCAAAAACTACAATTTGATGTACTCATTGGATGACAGACCTTGATCTTCAACGAAAATAGAAGCTAATTGAAATACAAAGTTTACTTTCAGCAGTAAATTCCTTGAAATAGCACAACAATGTTTAAAATATTGAAGTACATGTTAGGTGTGTTTGGAAGTATCAATATAGAATCATAATGGTTATAAATTACCGTAAATTAAAGATGTTTACAAGTTTATGTTATGACATTTTCTATGTAAATTTTACTCAGACATACACTTGTATATTGTAAAAGTTTTATCATAAATATCATATTAATATTAATATTTTGTAACTGTCCCGTGAGAGAAACTTGCAGCCTGACCGAGACACAAACACAGTACCTTCGATATAACATTCGTACCTTCGATATAACATTCGTACCTTCGATATAAAATTCGTACCTTCGATATAACATTCGTACCTTCGATATAACATTCGTATCTTCGATATAACATTCTGCAGCACTGCCGTATGAGCTTGCCGATCACTGGCACTTTGCCTTTAGTTCTTGTTTTAGTTCTATAGAGAAACATTACGTTTGTTATTATAGTAATGATATCAGGGATTTAGAATTTATTGTGATTATAATATTTCTTTATCCACGAAGCCCACGCATAAACTTGAATAGACAAGTTGAATCATAGTCTATTACGAATTAATTGTAAATAGTATTACATTCATCATACTATGTATATAATATATAAGTTGAAATGTGTTCATCTTTTATGACTGTTATCTCAGGAAAGCAATATTTTGCACAGAAATATTTAATGTTGTATATTATCATATTCATTGATGATTCAAATATTTTCAGCTTAATATCAGGATTTTTTTTTTGTATCATATACTCGGTGTATATTTTAATTATAGGTTTTGCTTCTATTATTTGTATGTGCTTACTAGTAATATTTGAGTATTTTTTCAAAGTTTAATGTTTGAAATGAAAACATTATTGCAACATATCAAATCATGTCACTATAGCTATGCCATTATTGAATTAATATAATGTAGCTCTGTTTAACAGAAGTTCAGTGTTTGTACATATTCTTATTTATCATTTATTTATTATCATTAGTGTTAACCTTCAGATATATCTCACGGAGTAAAGTGATGGCAAATTTAGATTTTTGTTCTGACTTCAACAAACATTTATATGGTTCAGTTTAAAACAAACGTATTCATTTGAAGTCAAGAAACTGATATTTCATAATTTTACAATCTTACAAAATTAATATTGATTGTTGATGTGTTGATTTGTATGCTTGATTTTATTTATTGACAATGTAAATATATGATTGTTGGTACTTGAAATTGTCATTTTAACTGACAAATTTGGCTGCTGAACTACTGCATTACAAAAATTGATTGTAATTGATATATATCTCTTTGTTAATTTAGCAATTAACGGTATATTAACCAGCAACACAATATATTATTCAGTTAACCATTTAAAGATCCTGTATGTTGTAATTAAGGATGTAACAACAATTTTATCTATGTGTATAATCTTCCTTCTAAAATATATTCCAAACTTCCAATAATATGTTAAAAATGTACTGCAAAAGTTTATACGCATTATAAGTTATCATTGAAATACATGCATTTATTTCTTATTGAAAAATTTGGCTCATAGACTTTATCAAAAATTATATTTTATATTACCTCCCTTTATTTACGTGAAATCTTAATTCGGTAATATCTTTCCATATAATACTTTTTATACCCCCAAAAACGAAGTTTGGGGGGTATATAGGAGTCACCCGGTGGTCGGTCGGTCGGTTGGTCGGTCGGGCGGTCGGTCGGTCGGTCCAGACGTCCGTTGCATTTTCCTTGTCCGGAGCATAACTTGAAAACTAATGGTTGGAATTCAATATAACTACATACAATGGTCAAGCACATTGAGAGGAAGTGCAGTGCACAAGAACCATAACTCTATCTTGACTAATTACAGAGTTATTGCCCTTTGTTATTTTTCCTTGTCTGGGGCATTACTTGAAAACTACTGGTTGGAATTCAAAACAACTTCATACAATTGTCAAACGCAATAAGGGGAAGTGCAGTGCACAAGAACCATAACTCTATCTAAAGTAATTACAGAGTTATTGCCCTTTGTTGCTTTTCAATTGCCTTCCTTTTTTTGTACAGAGCATAACTTGAAGACTAATGGTTGGAATTCAATATAACTATATACAATGGTCAAGCACATTGAGAGGAAGTGCAGTGCATAAGAACCATAACTCTATCTAAAGTAATTACAGAGTTATTGCCCTTTATTACTTTTCCATTGCTTTCTTTTGTCCGGACCATAACTTGAAGACTAATTGTTGGAATTCATTATAACTTCATACAATGGTCCAGCACATTGAGAGGAAGTGCAGTGCACAAGAACCATAACTCCGTTTTGACTTATTACAGAGTTACTGCCCTTTGTTTCTTTTCCTTGTCCAGAGCATGACTCGAAAACTACTGGTTGGAATTCAAAACAACTTCATACAATGGTCAAGCACAATAAGGGGAAGTGCAGTGCACAAGAACCATATCTCCATCTTGACTAATTACAGAGTTATTGCCCTTTGTTACTTTTCCATTGCTTTCTTTTGTCCGGACCATAACTTGAAGACTTATTGTTGGAATTCATTATAACTTCATACAATGGTCAAACACATTGAGAGGAAGTGCAGTGCATACGAACCATAACTCCATCTTGACTAATTACAGAGTTACTGCCCTTTGTTACTTTTCCTTGTCCAGAGCATGACTTGAAAACTACTGGTTGGAATTCAAAACAACTTCATACAATGGTCAAGCACAATAAGGGGAAGTGCAGTGCACAAGAACCATAACTCAATCTTCACTAATTACAGAGTTATTGCCCTTTGTTACTTTTCCTTGTCCAGAGCATAACTTGAAAACTACTGTTTGGAATTCAGTACAACTTTATACAGTTGTCAAGTGCATTCAAAGGAAGTGCAGTGCACAAGAGCCATAACTCCATTTTGACAAAATACAGAGTTACTGCCCTTTGATACTTTTCCTTGTCCGGAGCATAACTTAAAACGTACTGGTTGGAATTCAAAACAACTTCATACAATGGTCAAGCACAATAAGAGGAAGTGCAGTGCACAAGAACTATAACTCTATCTTCAGTATTTATAGAGTTATTGCCCTTTGTTCTTTTTCTTTGTCTTTCTGGACTTATTACAGAGTAATTCAATTAAACTTCATCAATGGCCAACCACATTGAAAGGAAATGCAACATACATGAACTACAATTATCTTTAATTGCCCACAACCATAACTCTATGTTTCAATTCTTTTACAAGGTATTCTGTTACTAGTAACATCCTCATTTCCGAAGCAGACTTGTGGGGGTATTAATCACATTTAGTGATAGTTCTAGTTGGAACTTACAATATTGATAAATCTTCATTTGAGCATCATATTTATGATATAAGACCATAAACAATTGAGTTACAGGATCTTTAAACAGGGGCGGATTTGAAACACGGTAAGCTGTAGGGGAAGGGGGCTTACATCTGGGAGAAATATTTTGACAAAAACAACAGAAAACAATATGACAGTCGAAAAAGTGTGCACATGTTTGACAATTAGGCCAGAATATGTGACAAAATTGTAATATTATTGATGTCTATTATAACTCATCCTTTATAATGAGTGGCAATGTACTTGTTATATATTGTTCATTAAATACTATTTGTATATGTATTAGGAAAAATTTATTTGCCAAAGCAGAAGCTATAAACGAGCATTGTTTAAGGCTGTCCGGTCGTTTATTTTTTCCAATACTGAAATTTTAAAGTGTGCTGCAAAATCCTGTTTCAATATTCATAAAATTAGAACAAACTGGTAGTATTCTATTGCGAATAGTCTGTAATAATGTTACTTTTAAAATATTAAAGATTTTACCTAATATATGTGAGAGCTTTACATTAAGTTACTGAGAAATGCTACTTAAATCAATGTATTTATAAGGATTCTAATGGTGATAATGTTTTATCTATGATATTTGTAGTAAAAATTCCAGGTCTCTGGGAAAAGATAAACAAACTCATAGTTAACCACATAGTAACTAACTAATAAATTTTGGCAAATACAATTTATTTGTACAGTTACTTAAATTTTAACGTTTTTATGCTATTGTATCTGTTTATATTTTGTCTTATCTTTTCAATGATGTGAAATAATGTTATCAAGAAGAGGATTTTATAGGTTAAACACTGTTGCTAATAGGTCTAAAAATGTAAAATAATGGTCTTAAGTAAGAGAACATTACTAGGATGTTTACTATAACGCAATTTTACCAAAAATTCTTTCAGAACAAGATTAGCAATAGTTTTTTCTTTTTTTGTAATATGTTTATAAATATGGATTGAGAAGAGAGGTAACTCTGTAAGTCATATTGGAAATCCTTGGAGAGTTGCCTCCCTTCCACTATCATGCTAATTTTACAGTCTAGAATGGTCGTGCACAAACAACTTTTTATTGTGTAAAATTATGTAATTTAATTATTTTATATTATACTATGTATGGATGGTTTAAAATAAAGTATATAATATATGCATGTTTTACTTGTATTACATTGATCAATAACGCTTAAATGAAGAATAAATGTATATGTGGGAGGGATGTTTTCTCCCATATACTGAGAAAATTTTCAAATCTGATGTTGAAAATGGTGTTATTTCCTTGACTTTCTAGTGCTGTTTATGTTACTGATAGTTTCCGAGAAAAAAACACCCTAACGAAAAGATTAACCAGGACGAAAAGGGGCATAACTTTGCAAAACATATTTTAGGATTACATTCCCTTTTGAAACATGTATAGAAAGTTTGAAGCGAATGACGTTAAATAGTTTCAGAAAAAAATGGACCTTAGCGAAAAAGTTAACCAACATCGCCTCAGAGGACCTTCGAAAAGTGGAGCTAAAGCATATAATTTGTATGTCCCCCCTTCAAAGAAGTGGGGGTATATTGCTTTGCATTTGTCTGTCCGTCATTCTGTAGACCAAATGGTTTCTGATCTATACCTAAAAAACCCTTAGGTCTAGGAACTTTAAACTTGGTATGTTGATTGGTCTTGACCAGTAGATGACCTTAATTGATTTTGGGGTGAAGGGGATCAAAGGTCAATGTCACATTGACCTTGTAGGTAAAAACAGTTTCCGATCAATAACTTAAGAACTCTTAAGGCTAGGAACTTCAAACTTGGTAGAATGATTGCACGTGACCAGGAGATGGTCCCTATTGATTTTAGGGTCAAAGGTCAAGGTTACATTGACCATGTCAGTAAAAATGGTTTCCGATCAATATCTTAAGCACGCTTAGGCCTAGGGACTTCAAACTTGATATGATGATTGCTCGTGACCAGGAGATGACCCCTAATGATTTTGGGGTTACGTGGTCAAAGGTCAAGGTCACATTGACCTTGTAGGTAAAAACGGTTTCCGATCAATAACTAGAGAAAGTTCAGGCCTAGGAACTTCAAACTTAAGATATTGATTTGTCATGACCAGGAGACGATTCCTGTAGATTTTGGGGTCAAGGGGTCTAAGGTCAAGGTCACATTGACCTTCTAGGTAAAAACTGTTTCTGATCAATAATTAAAGAACGTATAGGCCTAGGAACTTAACATTTGGTATGACAATTGCTCATGAGCAGTAGATGACCCCTATTGATTTTGACGTTAAGGGTTCAAAGGTCAATATCACATTGACCTTGAAGGTTATAACTGTTTCCGATCAATAACTGAAAAACACTTAGGCTAAGGAACTTCAAACTTGGTATGATGGTTGCTTATGACTAGTAGATGACCCCTATTGATTTTTTGGGTCAAAGTTCAAGGTCACATTGACCTTGTACGTGACCAATACCTCAACAAATGGAGTTGTCATGGTTGATATTTTTATTAGTCAAAAAATGCTTTTGGTTTACATATTTCAAGGTCTTACGTAATATAACAAATTGGCTGTCATTAAGGAGACCTGCATGATTCATAAAATGTATGCATACATTCTAAGGTAAGATTTAAGATAACTTGTCATAAATTTGCTGGACACAACCTTTACAGTCACAATTATCTAGTCGTTAGTCATGATAGATAATCCCTATTGATGTTTTGGTCAAAGGCAGTCATAATAACCTGACCACATGACTAATTGACTGCCGATAGGAGGCATACATGTTTTACAAACATATCTTGCGTTTAATTCTATTAAAGATCTCCTTTAATAGACTAGTTCTCTTTAACAATTGAAAGAAATGTAAAATATTTCTTGAAGCTATATATTATAAGGTTTCTTAACCTGTTGGAAAAATGTCTTCTTTAAAAAGCAATTCTAGGAAGACCATTGGCAAAATAGAATCAAATACCCGGTGGAACATTTAATCAATAAAAAATAATGTTTGAAGAAAATAACTCAAGCAATGCGTTTTACTCCGAGATTAATTTTAAAGGGTGAATTCTGTTTTGAAAAACATTTTTTAAATAACTTCCCGGTAACATTATGTGTTATGTTTAAAGCAAAATATATCCCCATGTTCAATTAACTAATTAATATAAGCTGTATACAATAGCATGTATTTAAAAGTACATGTATACAAGCATTGACACATGAATATTTATATTCATCGGTAATGATTTTGTACTTCAGTGCAATGCAAACCTCACATGTTCGATCATTTGATTAATACATTTTCTTGAGGCGCTGGTTCGATCCTCAAGCGAGATGAAAGTTCTACGTTACCATGGTTACAATTCATCTCGGACGTTGAGTGTAATGGTCATTTGTCTTTGATGATTGTCGCTGATTCAGCAATCATGTTGGGAATAATAGCCGGTCACTTGAGCAGAAGTTGTTTATCACGGAGAGCCGGTAAGGTGGGTCACCCGACGAGGAAACACGCAAAAACAAACAAACAAACATAAAATCATGATACACTATGTGCATCATCACTTTGGTATCATATAAAATGGAACTTCTGATATATAACGAAATTTTAAATCTTTGAGCAATACGATCTGAAATCTAGCTAGCCATCTAAAGGACACCATTTCATTTCTTTTTACGTTGTCAGTCACCTCTTTTGTAAATCCCCTCTACCATGTCATCTCGCTCACAGTCCCAATAGTAATCATGTATGTGCTTCGAACTACAATATTCAAAATTCTTAAACGTTGAACTTCGCTGATATGTCATCGTCGGTACCCACAGCTAATAAAGTGAACACGCAACGAGTGCGCATGTGTTACGAAATATGCTGATCTGTTTGCATGAAACATATAAATGCTTCTATGCTTGGAAATACGGTATAATAAGATTGAATCGGCCAATTTTCTGCTCTGAACGACGTTTTGTTTCATGCAATATTGAAATATTCCAGACTCTTAGGGAATTGTTCTAGTTGACACCGCTTTACAACAGAGCAATGGTTAATTACAAAAGGGAAATACATGGAAAATCGATTTGACATCACATGCATATTACTCAAATATGTGGAAGAACTGATGATTAGATTACATTGAAATAATATAGTCAAATATGCCAATTAAGATGTTCTAAAAGGAGTGGAATACAGTGTATTTTTGACATTTGATTTTAAAAAAGGTTTTATTAATCCAGCACAATTCTGAACAATAGATATGAGAGCTTCTCTGAGTGATTTGTCACATAATATACATTAACAATATATGCAGGGTAAAGCTTACATAATAAAGGCACAGATACATGTGTATAAACATCATTTCCGATTAAAATGTTAGAATGTTTCCTGAATGACAGCTTTCTAGATCTTATCATGTATCATACAAAACATGAATTGTATTAGTTTTCTATAAATAGCAGTCATCAAAATAGTATAAATAATTCAGTAACGACTTTTCATGGAATGGCACGTGTCAAATTAAATGTTCCATGATAACCGCCCTATGAATACATCTGCTCAAATGTATTTTCACGACGTTGAATTTTGATAAAAAAAATATGGAAACAAAGCCGGTGCCTTTCGCGTGAATGATAGCTAGCATTTATCACTAACGTCCATGAATAGGTTCAATAAAGTAGCAAATTTTGCCCTTTTAGACGTTTTTAAGGCATTTTTCCCGTTTATAGAACACAATTTAGTTCTAAAATGTCAAAGGCTGTCTTTTTACACAGTTTATACTCATGTTTAAGATTTTCCATCGTGGTTTATATCATTATTACTTATAAACCTCTCGTTCATCTTTAATAATCACGATTCAAGTTGTAGACTTTGAATCTATTCTATAAAATTGAGCCGCGTCACGACAAAACAAACATAATGGGTTTGCGACAAGCATAGATCCAGACCAGCCTGCGCATCCGCGCAGTCTGAGCAGGATCTAAGCTGTTCGCTTACAAACCCTATAACAAGTAGAGAAACTGACAGCAAACAGCATGGATCCTGTCAAACTGGTCGCAAACCCATTATGTTGGTTTTGTCGTGACGAGGCTCAAATTAAGTCTATAAATGTAGTCTATAAATTTACTCTGTAAATGTTGTCAACGTAGTATATAAATATAGTCTATAAATGTAGTTAACGTAGCATATGCCATATTACGTCAAATAAGCCAGCAGTAAATATGTCTTATCTGCCATTTGGTTTCTTTGTATTTTCAATGTTTAAAAAAAGATATAAAAATAACAAAGTATTGAGCTACAATCGGCGTCACCATGGCTCATATTTAAAATATTGTAAGTCAAATATATGGGGAGAAATTAATCAAGCAACTTATATTGTTCATACAGAAAATTTATTTTCTCTTTGATTAAATATGTCATAACAATTAACATTGATAATATAACACTGGCAAATGTTTTTAATACTCATAAAATATTTTTTCTAAATATTAAGTCAATGGTAATTTATTTCATACAGAAACAGGGATAACATAATTATTGTTCTGTTTTGAACATGTCTTGTACATCGGTTCGAAATGGTATGCTTTGGGTTTGACTTCGATTCCTCGCATATACTTATTCTAGTTCAGAGGATGGGTTTGTAAGTACGGAGTTCCGGAGAATGAAAAATATGTCATTTGTGACGTCATCAAACATAATTATTAAAACGTTATGGTCTTACAACATTGTATAATGACGTTCTAAAAATTATTTTAAAAAGCAAAATATGATCATAAAAATGCTTAAAATATATATATGTGTTATTTATGTAGGTGATGTTAAGAAAATAAATGAATTTCAAGTGCATATTTTTTCTATGACGTGGTTATTATTTCATTTAGTTATCCAAGCCCCTCGTGGCCATCAGTTCTGCCTTGTCATATGATATGTTGTCCCATTTCAAAAGGATTAAAATGTTCTGACTTCTTTACTTACTATATACAGAAAATGAAACAGAAAAATTTTAATTAATAAAAATACTTTAGTGATTTAACTACGTGGAAGTATTTGCTCACAACAACATGGTAAGAGAGATTTGTTCACTGGCAGTGACAAATAAACAGTAAATAATGGATATCATTTCAACGTGACGATCTTTTAATAATGAAAGTATGTATAGGCCTGTATTTTGTATTATTTTGAAATGAAAAGAAGATATAATTATTTGGCATTGGTTTAAATTAATATAACAATTATTTGACTACATAGATAACACTGCACAAGCCTCACAACAACACCCATAATGCAACACAATGCTTCCACCAACATCCGGTTCCTTGTACAGTTACACTGACAATTATTGTCAACTTCCGGTTTCCTTTCCAAATTCTACTTTTGGCAATGTGTTTTGTTGAATATACAATTATTTCACTCTCTTGGTCTTCCTATAATACATAGTCAACAAAGAAATTGTTTGAAATTATACAACATTTTAATAGTGTATTTTAGAGGATTAAATTACATGTATTTGAAACTTCATTATAAAATAAGCCAATAGGTTAACGCATTTACGAATAAAATGTGTAAGTTGACCTGTGATGTTCTTGAAAACAAATGCTGCATGAGTTACGGGGCCGTGACAATATATCCTCATGTGGCAATTGTGTTGTGCAGGACACTGACGTTGAATACCTTAGACAGTTCCAAAAGAGTTTCAATGAAAACCAAATTAAAATGAACAATTTAAATCTAAGTTGACACAAATATTATCTTACTTCTTTTTTTTACATTTTTGCAGTAAATTTAAGATTACCATTATGTGCCGTATGATTTCATTTCTTCCCTTGCCTCCGGCTGTTGCTGCACGACCTCCTCGTCAAGTCTGGCCAGGGTTCCCGTTGACATGTCAGCCTCACCCCCGTACGTTATCATGGGACCATACGTTACAGCCTTACCCTCAATACTGTTACGCATACCGTAGGCAAAATATAGCAGAAAACCTGTGTAATGGTAAATAAATGTATAAATAATCTTCGCATTCTGTACTTTGGGAATTAACATACTTTGTATTCAGAACTATCCATAGGTTTGATACCATAATGAATACAAGCTTAGAACTCGTTAACGTCTGTATACAAAAAAATTTCTTAAACCAAAGTGGCACATAATAAAACAAAATTTAATAGCCTTGATTCTATGTTCTTAAACACAATGTGATCTTCACTAGTATGAATTTCCAACGATTACATGTAAATATGAACAAGAAAAGCATTGATGCAAAGCATCAAAGGGCGTCCAAGCAAGAAATGCAGCAGGTGAAGATGAGCTAGTAGATATATGATGATAAACTGTTCAATGGTTCATTGGTTTTTACCAGAATTGTATATCACTTATGAATGAACGAACGAAAGACATTGTTCATTATTTATAAATTTGATTGGCATGCTAGAAATTAGAATATTACTTGTTATTTCTTTATGATCGTGATTATTAATATCATGCGTTACTCATATGGATTATAAATGATTGTACACCACATTTGTGTAATTGTCCCTTATTATGTTATCGCTATTAGCGAAGACCCCCTCTTAAGGTATCTGTTCACACTTAGTAACAATATGACACTTGTTATATTACCATGTTGAGCATACTAGTAAATGTTTATTATACACTAATAGTAATATCTTTTTTAATAAAAAAAAATACAGATTTTATGAAAATTGTTTTCTTTTCTTTTTTGTGTTTAATGCACTATTTTAATACTGAGTTTTTACGTTTACTATTATTTAAAGAATTCAATTGTCATAATGACCGACGATTATAAGTCAAAACTTAACTGCAAAAAGTCAATAAATTATGGTTAATCTTTCAATATATAATATTGTTTATTCTTAAACCATATACATGTACATTTGTATTTTTCTTTATCATTTCTTAAATTATCAATCAATTGAATAATTCATAAAATCTGATTTGTAACTTTGAATAATTCCTCGGCATCTTTACTAAACACGAATAACAAATTAAATAAAATGTTTCAAAGTTGATAGTGTCATATTAATGCCATAAAAATGTACATCTTTTCTCAATTATTGTTCATATTTATTGTTTTTATCTCATATAGATAAAATAAAACATGCGATTTGTGTTGTTGGGTTTTTTTTTTCGAATTGTATGTTTATGTATAATAATAAGCAATAATTTTGAGAGTTGATCTGTGTTTATTAATTATTGTAACCAAACTAAGTGACAAACATTCATTTTGAAAAAAAGCTTATTTATCTGTAAAATATTTGTTCTGTTCTGTAACGATATCAAACATCTACTCCAAAACCGGGAGAGACCGGACAATAAACGTGTGGTACTATTCGCCGGTCGTCAAAATAGACCAGGAGAGACCGGGAATTACCGACAGGAGTACATACTTCTATAAATAGATTTTCGGAATATTTAGGTCATCAACTCATCATTCTATTTACAGCTTTCGGAATAACATACCATAAAAATCCACTGTGTACTACAAAATGATAAATAAAAATACCTTGAAGAGTGCGATTTATTGACGGAAAAGGTTATTTAATTTGAAAATGTTTGCATTGCGAAATTCTCCAGTTCGCTATTCATTGTACATATCGCGACTAATTAATAATCAAGCACCCTCATACCGATCGGAATGATCAGCTTTTATTATGAACAACTATAAAAGGCTCGAGAAGTCGCTGTCGCCCTTTCACAAAATCTGATTTCATTACATAAAAGGCGCCGCGCTTCGGCGCGGACGCCAAAAAGATTACATGTAATTATACAAAAGATTGCATGTCAATATGAAAAAAAAGCAAAACATTTTATTTTTAATTATCTAGTACTAGGCATATTGATGACAATTTCAACTATAGATGTTATCAATTTATATATGTTCAAACGTACAACATTACTTTTACAAAATACAAACACTTAAAAGGGTTCACATCTGCAGGAAAATTTCTGGAATCATATTTACAGCTGATATTTATATGTTTTATATGTTCATTCAAATTCAGCCCTGTCAAAGTCAGCTCAAGAAAACCCATCACTTAACTTTAGCAACAAAGTACAATTATCTGTATTAGAAATCAAAATTGTATCGGCGTATTTACAAGTTTTAACTCACAATTTATAAATCGTTAACAAATCACACACGCGCGCACGCCTGCACGCGCACGCAGACACGCGCACGCATTCAAGTAAACTTACCTACTGCCATCCATATTCCCAATCGTAGCCATGTTAGATAACCTAGTTTCATCATTAATGCTGTGTTACATGCTATACTCAGTGCGGGTATTAATGGAACCAATGGTATCTGAAAATATATATGTGTGATCTATGTACATTAAACAAGATCATAAACACTTTACTAAAAAAAATTACATTTCATATTTCGATACAGCCAGAATAATCTTTACTTTAAAGTAGAATGTATAACAATTATTGCACCTATTGTCCAGTATGATTTGTTTAATAGACACACATTTCGCGAGGCTAAACCACTACTTCCTTTAATCAAGATCTTATCAAAATAGAAAATCGTCTAATATGAAGAAGTTTAGTGTGGGTTTATTGAAAAAAGTAATGTTAAAAGCTACACATACATTTGTATTTTAGAACAACCAAGTTCAATAGATCTACGTCACAATATATAAACCGGTTTTTAATTGGGTTTTGTGTGAGAATAAAGACGTCCGCCACAATGCGTACATAACAAAACCAATCTGTTCATTCCTGGTACATTAAATATTTATTGTCATATATCTAAACTTAAGAATTTTTTCACAGGTACATTTGTATATCAAATCAAATAATTTTCACAGACATGGCAATAGGTAATTGGGAATTGATATGTTTATTTAGTTTCTGTGATGCAATAGCTTTACAGAGTGATTTTTTACAGACTGAATGTTCAAGTAAATTGTTGACCGGAGCTTTCCTCCCTGACCGTGTTAAATTCAAGTAGATCTTCTATGCCAAAATATGTTTGAAACCTTTATGACAAAAACTAAGATAATGGGTTATGTATCAAACGGTATAAAGCTATACCTTATGAAATATTTTTTTATAAAATTAGTCAAAAGTTAAATTATATTGTTTTCTTAAATTAATGGCATATAGCCCGCAAAGAACTCAAGAATCGCTTTCCCCGCGAAAATTAGTCAAGACTTGTCATCAACCTGATTATTTTGTTCTTTATTTATTATAAGAACAGCAATAACATTTGATTTAAAATCTTAAGTATAGAAAGGTTTAAAGTGTTCTTAAATCCAGACTATTTCTTGATAAAATAGACTTGCGCAACCGTTACATAACGAGTATTATCTATTGATGTTTCTGATATTTAACAAATATAAATTCAATGTAACGCCGTATTACTAGGACCTGATTGCACATAAACGCGCTTTTCGTTTTAAAGATAGAGGTACTCAGACAGATTTTCCACAAGTAATGACATTTAATAAATGGATTTTGACTTTTTTGCTGTACTTTAAATGTAAAGTTTCCTATATATTAGTGAATTTGTTCTTGGAAATATAATTGCATGCCTACAGACATATTGAGTCGTGTCGTTAGACTTTTTGAAAGAAAAATTTCTTTTTCTTACATATGATAACAGATTGACGTTCTATCCATAAACATGTATTTATATCTTGAATAAAAGTTAATGCAATTAATTTGTTGGGTTATTTCAGCGGCCTTTCGATAAACATTTAAAACTTCGAATAAAATAGCAATAAGGCAAACACATCGGCTAAGAGTAATGAAATTAGCTATTATTCATTCTATTTTCTAATTCATGTGTTAGGAAAGAAAATAAGATATATGTATATTGGTAGTTTTTTCATGATTTTAACGTAAATGCCATCTGTGGCTAATGAAATATTGATTTGATTTCTTTACTGCAGTTGTTTGAACATGAATACAACACCAAACGGAAAGTATAAGATTGAAGATAAAACATGATTTCGTTTTAAATAATCAGGCATTATGGAGGCGGATTTTCTTTAAATAATGACATTAAACTTTTACCACATCAAGACAGGGTAAATCACACAGTTAGCAAGTTAAGGTTGTTCTAACTGTTAAAGTTTCTATTTAAGCACATATTCCCTTTGCTGATTAACACAGATTGGTTTTGCTAATTTAGAAATCAAAACATTGAAAGTGTCTTACCTGAAATGTTAGAAATGCGTCATTTTTCTCGTGTGCTACCATCACGAGGTAGCACGTGATTACCATGGCAACGAACACTATCAGCAGAATAATAGCCCACCAGGACCCATCACTTAGCTCATCATATCCAAATATCAATAACGAATTTGTACATAGGATGCTCACGAATAGTAATCAAAGGGCTGCAAGCTCTGTGGTATTTTCTGATCCCTGCAATCTAAATCGTACTGTATATCTGTATGTGTTTTCCTGTATAAGTTTATTTTATGTATTATAAGTCATCTTGCAGGGCACCAGAGATTGATACATACGGAATTTGCATAACTAGAGTTGCATCAAAAAATAATTTATGTTCATTTTTTATGATAGCCACACTTTATTCTTGCATATCGTGGCTATTTCCTTAACAAAGACACTAAAAATAAAAATTAAAAAAATGTTGACTCGACTGGGATTTGAACTCCAGACCTCTCACACACCAAACGAGCGCGTTACCCCTGCACCACGGAGAAGTTTTAAAATCGAAAGCTGAATAAAATCAAGTCATTCTAAATTAAGAATTTCCATTGCATTTCGGATTAGGGTAATTTCGAGGTATTTTGTTCAGGGTAAACCCGTTGTTTAAAATTGAAGTAAATAATTTAGCAAAAATCTTCTCGCCAAAACAGTCCAACATGTAAAAACTATATATTCAACTACTCGGCAGTCAGATCTATTTGTGTAGTATTCGGTAATCAACATCGCTCAAAATAGCATTTTCATTGATTAAAATCATATTCATCCGCGTAATTTGTGAGTGTGCATTTATTGACAACTCTTTAAGCCAACGCTACTTTAAAAGTTTGAAGGTGTAGTAATTTGTTGGACACTTGTAACAAAAAAGTGTTCTTTCTTTTAAATTGCTGGTTTTTAAGCAGTTTTGAGTGAGAACTAATTTGCGTTGTTAGGACTGTTAGGAAATTTTGTGTTAGACCGTGGATGTTAGCTATGTATTATCTGATCTGCGATCAGAAAATACAAAAATGTCGCTACCATTACAGCGTTCCCTGGTTCAAATTTGTTAAGAATAGGAAGTGCACGAAGTTTGTGTTTAAGCTTTCCAAAGTCATCTTGGCTTTTTGATTTTTTAATAATTGAAGACTCTTCAGTGGGGGAGGTATCATCGTGAATCGGCTGCTCTTCTTCCGGTTTGAGTTTAAATTGACATTTATAAACAGGAAGATACCGTAACACAATAACACTTGCTGACACGATTGTATAAGCAGTCAATGTTCCTATCGACATGAATTCCACTAATGTTGTTATTTCAAATAGTAATGCCATCAAAGCCGAGACTGATCCGAATATAACAATGGCCAACACTGGCGTCTGGAACTTTGGATGGCCATAAGCTAGTGATTTGAACAGAAGCCCATCTTGTGCCATGGCGTAAACTGATCGTGGCAGAGAAAAGGCGCTGCCAAGCAGTGAAGTGGTTATTCCAAACAGTGTCCCTATTCCGGCACTATACTTCGCCCACATTATACCACGTGTCGCAAATGCAGCTGGAAATGCAGCGGCCGGATCTACGTCATAATAGGGAACAATCAATGTTAATGCTGTGGTTGCTAGTATGTAAATCACCGAAACAATTAGCAACGAGGAAATTGTTGCAATAGGGATTGACTTCTCGGGTTCCCTTGCCTCTTCACTAGAGACTGCTATTCCCTCAAAGCCTATATAAGCATAAAAACATGTTGCTGCACCAGCCAGAGACCCTCCGAACCCGTATGGAAAAAAGCCGCCATGTTCTGTCCAATTCCGCTTATCCGCAAATGCAAATCCGGCGATTACTAAAAATAGAATCACAGCACAGTTGAATGCCGTGAAAACAGTGTTGAAGTGAACGGTGAACTTTGCACCTGACGCTATAACAGCAAAGATTAATATGGTGATGGCCATGGCAATAAAATCTGGATAGTCAGAAATCCATCGTGATTCGTGACTAAGGTAACCAACGTTTTCTAACGTACTTTTTCTAATTTCACCATTGAATAGTGCATCAATGGCGCCACTCCACGCGCGCGCAATGGGGCTGCTCCGAGCAAATGTTCAAGAACAATGTTCCATCCGATAACAAAAGCCCATACCTCTCCAATAGCAATGTATGTGTAAGAATAGGCGGAACCAGCTTTAGGAACACGGGCACCAAACTCGGCATAGCAAAGCGCCGACAAAATTGCAGCAATGCCGGCGAAAAGGTAGGAAAGAATAGCAGACGGCCCAGCAAGGTCTGCGACCACGGTTCCTGCAAAATAAGAGGATAAAAGATTGTCATAGTGTTATGTCGGTGATTTAAATGATCAATTCTACTGTCAATGGTGATAATTCGTTAATAATGAAGATGTTGATATTGTAAACCAGGACAAAAGTGGTCATTTGTAATAATTTTGTGAAATGTATGAGAAATCTAATTTTAGTCACAAGCTGAAACGACTGTGATATGAATATTGTTAATTATAATGATGATGATGATGCTGATGACGATGATGATGACGACGACGATGATGATGATGGTGATGATTGATGGTGAATGGAATGGTGATAATTTTATGATGATAATAAGTATGATCAGGGTGATGATGTTAAAGATCAGGGTGAAAATGCTGACGATGATAGCAATGATTTCATGATGAAGATTATATGTAATTGCGATATTTGTAGATAAATCTGGGCAACAAAGACGTCCCTATGGTTTCAATAACTGTTTAAAATAAACTGAGAAAACTCCCCAAACTTTGGTGTTATATTCAAAAAAAATTTCCCATGTCACGCGAACTTTACAAGCTGTCATGACCAAGGGATTATGGTCGAAAAATCAGTTACGACAGACATAATTATCAAGGGATTTACTGAAGTTTTACAGACAAGAACAATGCGTGTTATCTGGCAAGTAACGATACGGGAGTATCTAACAAAAATCAATTCTTCCGATTCTGAAACAAAAACCTTGATAACTGTAATTTGTTTTCTCTGCTTTCACAGAGATTTATGTTGATTCTAAATACACTCAAACATGTTTGAATGAAAATGTTTGATTTTTTTTTCTTACGGAATGGAACTTGAATTGAATTTGATATTTGTAACTAGAAACAGATTTGCGGTTTTATTGGAGAAAAAATTTGCAAAGTTAAACGAGAAGTTTGGGTTGAGAAAGCCTAAAAGTATTGTCATTTAGTTAATCTTGGAAAACTTATAGTTCGTTATACGTTAAAACATATCTTACCGGTGAGAACATAGAGTCCTGCTCCGACCATTTGTCCTACACCAAGGAGGGTCATATCGAAAGTATTCAAACATTTTTTCAGGGGTGTCTCGTGAAAGTCATCCCTTATTGTCTTTTTCCTGTTAACATTGTTCCAAAATGTCCCCAACTTGTCCTTTACACTCAGTGCCATGGAACCTAAGGAAAGAAAACGAAATAATAATAATAAAAAAATATCGTTGTAGTCCGGTCAAAAACGCCAATTTCAATGGGACCAAGAAAAGCCAGAAAGTACTAAAATGAGGAGGAGTTAAATTCATTGTATTTTTTACAGATTTTCGAGAAGGTTTTACAATGTAAACGTGTTTTATTAAAAAAAAATATTATCATAATAATAATTATTATTATCATCATTCTAAATAATACACTCAATGCTAATTAATGCTCGCATTTCATCTTCAGCCATGACCCTAGAAAATATTTCAATTATGCAGAATATCTTATCGTCTACAACAAGACATGAAAAGTGAGCTTGTGTCGAGCGGAGAGCATCTTACTAATAGATCGGGAGGTATATATATATACTAGATAGTAGGGGGACTTTTTATGGTATCAGTTGCTGTGAAATATAAACGAGATTTTCAAAGAAGCTTTATCCACAGCGTCTTATATTCATGTTTGTCCGCCACTTTCTAAAGTACCTACAACATTTTAGCTTTATTAAAGGCATATTATGCCTTAAAAACAAAAAAAAATCAATTCAATTTTTCAGACAGGGCAACCATGAATTTTACAATATTTAAATAGTAAAAGTTTCAGAGCGTCATGTAAGATGCTTGTTTCTGGAAAAAGTAACGCTTAATGTGACATAATTTGTCATTAAAGAAGCAAAATGTAAACAAAGTGTTTTGTTATTTTTTACTTCAACACAAAATACTATATCACTATAAGGATAATTGGATCAAAAACCAACACAAATTAAGTATCAAAACATGTTTCGCTTTATTAAGCTTCCTCAGTTGATACATATATAAAAATGACGTAAACGTACAAAACAAACGTCTACGTTAATAGACGTTACATTTGGCGCGTAACATTTACATTTGGCGCCGTCCCAAAAATCTTCAAGATTCCCTTACCCATTCAACTCTAAATAAACGGAATATGAACGGTAAAACTAATAAGTGTAATAGAAAAAGATGCACTCACTGTAAAAATATCAAAGAAAATAGTAAATTCACAAGTACAAATACTGGAGAAACATTCGAAATGCATTTTGATGGAAATTGTACTTCTAGTGACGTGATTTATTTAATTACTTGTAAAAAATGTAAAATACAGTATGTCGGCCAAACCCATCAACAGGTATCAAAAAGAATGAACAGCCATAAATTTGATATAAGAAGTAATAATCATCCCAATTTTTCTTCTAATGTTGCAATTCATTTCAATGCCGAAGATCACTCACTTGATGACTTTTCCTTTATGCTGATTGATAAACTTCATGATAATATGGGGAGACTTTTGAAAGAGACATACTGGATACATAAGTTAGAAACATTTTACCCGAAGGGTTTGAATGCAAAAGTGCTTACAAATTTTAACTTCAGTTTTCAAGTAGATCTAAATATACTTGCAACTTTTTACAAACTCGTCAATATTTTTTTTAGTACATATCGGCATAAAAAGACTGTTCCATTTTAGTAGTCATTCACTGTATCTAAAAATGTTATTAATTTATTTAAATCTATACAAATACATTATTTATGTCGATGATATAAGTATTTAATTACCTCCCTTTATCCACGCATAATTTTGATTGTTACATTCATATACTACATTATTCGTAATGTATTCATATGATTTTTCATTATTTCATATAACATAAATTGATTTTGAGCATAATACCATATTTTGAATAGATAATAGATAGATCATTTTCATTTTATTTGATAGCTTTATAAAATATACTGATTGATAAATATGTTTCTAAATTATTATCTCCCCCTTTTTTTACAATTTTCAACATGTGATAAAAGGAAAATTTTTTTTCGAATTCTAAACTTTCACATAAGTAACTGTTGTTTTCATACTTGTTGTAATTATATCACTATAACAAATACTATAGCATCATAAGAAAAAAGTTTTTTCAGGTAAAAGGTCAGTTAGAAACTTATTGCTAACTGAAGAAGTACACCAAAAATAAAAAGCGTTTGAAAAATAAAAACATTTCAGAGGCATTATGGGCCTTTTTCAGTATGTACTCGTAGTTGGTAGTTTTGTCGTCCTTATAAAAGATGCTGAATTAAAGAACATACGAAATAACAATTATTACTGCTTCAAGTAAATATAAAATCGCATATTATCGGATAACTCCGTCATTTTCCGTACCTTGTATGACCAGATACAACACACATCTTAGAAAGCGTTGAGCTGACATGATTATATAAAAAACATGTTATATCACGATTTATTACCCAGAATCTGTGAAATGTGTAAAATCGAAAGTGCTTTAATTGCCATTATGTTGTTATTTTAACTTTGTCGCCCATAGACATGACCGCCTCTTTGCAATGTTTTAGTGTACTTAACGAGTATATTTTTGCATTAAAAATGAAAGGCGAAGAACTTTTATGGTTTGTCATATCCTTTTGTATCACATTTGATATCCTTATTTCTGACTTTCGTCTTTTGCAAAATAAAGGTTTGAAAAAAAGGCTAAACAACTTGTTTATTGCTTTACATAAAGGGCAGATAAAGGGAGGTTTTATTCGTAAAGGGAGATAAGCGAGTCATTAGACGCCGCGTGTACGCGGTGTTTAGTAGATATGCATTTGTCCAATGGGGAAAATTTTAGACTTGATTTTGTGAAATTTTTTGTAACAAAATCACACCGTTTTCAAATCTTCTAATAAACAATTATAGCTTTTTTGATGTACAACATGTCACAGAGCTATGAGGGATTAGATTGAAGTGATCGTGTCATGTTTGAATTATCATTATCTTATTTTCTCTACATAATAAATAACGTGCCATTGAGCCAGGCTATGGTCGATCGTTCTAAAACTTAACCGTTGAGAGAGGTAACGACTGAGGCAGTGTCACTCACTTCATTTGCTTCGCCTCTGTTGAAGTTCACCTCCGCCTTAAGTTGTCGCCAAGTTCAATATGATGTTCTGTATGCTAGCATTTAGTCTTCGTTGACAGGGCGGAAGGGAAACGAGACAACTTTGATCAATAACACTTGTCGAATAATTAAATTACAAGTTACAAAGCTTAAACCACGCCCATTATCAAAGAAGCGGTTCTCCCTCAACCGTTAAAAAGTACGCAAAACTCAAACCGGCCAGTAAAGGCAGATCACTGTAGAACAGTTCGTCCTCAAAATCATTCGAACATTATGCAATTCGTACCAATATTTAAACGGACATATTCTCGGCACATATAATCTTGAATTTATTTTAAGTATGCCAATCATTTCAATTTTATTTGTTATCCACTTTATTTTGCTTCGACCAGACGTTTAAATCTTTGTCGCAACAGAAAAACATTTCAGAATTTCAGACATGGCATTACTTTGTGAATTTATGCATTAGGTTCTACTTTTTCACAAAAATATGCAACTTTATTATTAAACAACGAGCCCATACCAAGAATATGGAGAAAAAATTTATTTGTGCTTCAGGTATTCAACTGTAATAGAGAACGATTTTCGATGCTGATTGACTGTTCACATCATTTTGTGGCGTCTTTGATATGCAGCATCAACATTTTACTTGTAAGGACTCTTAAGGGCCTTTTCCCCGAAAACATTCAATCTTGATGTAATGAAGTTATATTTAAATTTGTTTCCGGTTCAGGGGGAACGCTCCGTTCGCCATAATTGTTTTTATAATGACGATTTTTTTTACTTGACATGATCGAATTATTTTATAAATGTAGCAACTCAGGGAAGAATACTGCATATGTGTATCCAATTTTAAAAAGATTTCACTACCAGTTTAAGATTGATCAGTTATTTTTGATTGATCATCGTACTTTTATTCTCGTTTGAACTCCGAATGGACTCTAATAATTCGACAAGGTAGAGGAAAATGCAAACTATCAAAAACCAAACAAATAAAAAACGAACCTGAAAGAAATTTCTGGGCCATAATGGGCCTATAAAGCACAAAATAATGGATTATTGAAATGCTCTGATAAGCTTTGAATCACTGCCAAAAAGTAAATTATTATTACTGTATTTCAATTACCAAACAAACTGAGATTTTATATACTTTCTTTCTTAACTTTGGAATAAAAACTATCATAACTTTGGAAATGCAACTTTTATATCATTTTTTATTCAAAAATGATTTGATCCGATTGTATTCTATTTCTTTGTTCTGATTTCAATAATAATTATTGTATGAGGTACATAATTCACATATCATATCAGACTTTATTTCTTCACAAAACAAATGTGCATAAAGCAACATTAAACCACTATGAAATTAATATGCTCACCTTTTTCATTAAATATCCCATAAATAACAGCTTTTGATACCTTGTGTAATCAAGTGTCATGCCTAAAGCAATCAAGCAGATAATAACAACATAACAACACATTTAAGATCTACATGTAGGAAGGTGTTGATTTTAATATCAGTGGTCTCAATATTGAGGTAAAATAAAGAACAAAATAAGGAATTGGGACTGAATTTGGTGGTCTTAAATGTGGATAGTGAGGTGTTCTTAATTCTGGATCATGTAACCATTGACATAAAGAACAGAAAATTCCGTTCTTTTAAAAACTGGTCTTAAAAGCGGGGTGGTCTAAAATCCGAGGTGGTCTTTAGTAGGGATTCTACTGTATTTAGAAAACGCATGCTTCTTCTTTAAACTGTCTATTTGTACAATATGTACATTATTATTTGCATCTGCATAGTCGGTCTTGTTTATCTCGTGAATAATTGATCGTTAAACAGCGTTCACGTGGAAGTTACTTAGAACAAGTAATTACAAAGTTTTCTAAAAGTTTGGTAAATAAATGACCATAATACCAGTACGACTTTAAACAAATTATTGTATGCAGGTTTCAGATGCATTTACTTTAAACATACATGATTTCAAATATATTTATACTATCAATAACAGATTCCTTATATTGCGTCTATATAAACGAGTATATGATATATTCCTTCCGGGTTCAAACTTAAATG